CCCCCACCCCAGCTATCTGCAGTCCACATCACAGATTGCAACGAGACCACCGTGCAGCATCTGACTAATGCCATCATCCGCCCTCCTCCACATAGCAGGGGACCCTCAGCTAAGGAATCAGCCGGCTAATTGAATCATATCTTGAATGGACTTTTATTGGAGCGTTGGGGTGGTAGAGAGACCCCCGATCGCAGAATCCATCGGCTCTTGTTTACCAGCCTCGTTCTCCTGTGTGTCGTTGGGTGGGGGGGGGACGAAAGCTGCATGTGTCCTGCAATGCAGGCAACAAAGAACTGCCAGTTTCATTCCTTCGCTGGCAATTAATTCTTCCTGAGCAGATTGGATCTTTATCGGACTAATTGCTTTCCTCCGAGGTCGCTCGGACTCCTCCCAGTCCTCGATTTTCCGGTGAACATCTCCGTCAGCATGGGCACGGTCCTCTCCCTGTCTCCGGGCTCCCGGAAAGCCAGCCTTTACGACGATGGCTCCGGCTCCTTGGCGCATTACAACAGTGTCAGCAAGGGCAGCGGGCAGAAGCCCGAAAAGACTTTAAAGAGACACTCTATGTTTATCCCCGCACTAACCTGGAAAAGGCTGGTGGCTTCCACCAAAAAGAGGACCTCGAGGAAGGGAACAGTCAACAGCAATTACCAGAAGGACGTTGCCCATTTGAACCAGGAGAATGTGAAGAAATCCCTATCCTGTGCCAATCTCGCCAGCTATGACAGCCAGCCTCTGGCCCCGCTCACGTCCAAGCAGATATCCTCCATCAAGAATGTCTCCAGCACAACTGGTGGTGGCTCTCCAAAGAGGGTTATAGTCCAAGCCTCCACTGGCGAACTACTCAAATGCCTTGGGGAATTCCTCTGTAGGAGGTGTTACCGGCTGAAACATTTGTCACCAACAGACCCAATTCTATGGCTGCGTAGTGTGGACCGCTCTTTACTTCTTCAGGGTTGGCAAGACCAGGCCTTCGTCACTCCCGCCAATGTGGTATTTGTCTACTTGCTCTGCAGGGATGTCATCGACGGGGACTCTGTGGCCACTGAACATGACTTGCAAGCCACTCTGCTGACCTGCCTGTATCTCTCCTACTCCTACATGGGCAATGAGATCTCCTACCCTCTCAAGCCTTTCCTGGTGGAAACTGGCAAAGATGCCTTCTGGGACCGATGTCTTTGCATCATCAATGCCATGAGTGCCAAGATGTTGAGAATCAACGCCGACCCACACTACTTCACCCAGGTGTTCGCTGACCTAAAAAATGAGGGCAACCGCGATGAGTTTTCCAGAGTATTAGACCGGTGACTGTCCATGGAGAGAGACCAGGTCCAGCTCTTTCACAGCACTTGAAGGCCAGATCCTGCACCTAATGTTGCTGGCCAACTTTGATCCAGTAGCCAACAAAATGGGACCACATTCAACCTTTTGTGCATTGCCTACGTTGAGCAGTGGTGGAAGTTTGAGGCCTCTTGGCCACCATCCAACGTGCATCTTTTTTTTTTTTGAGGCCAAAAAGTGCCTGGCGCTCACCACCACTTTTCCCACTCGTGTCCTCCGAGGGCTGCACGTTGTTTTTTTTCCTCACTACACCTTCGTAGCGGCTGCTCACACTCCATTCCAAAGCAAAGCAATCCCCAAACGTTTCCTACTCTTCTCTATAGGTGTACGATAACGGAGCTGAGTTTGCCAGTTTCCACCTGAGAAGTAACGTCAAGAACCCTGCGATGCCATCTTCTACGTCCGGCCAATCGTGGTTGGAGTCAGCATGCTGCAGGATTAAAGAGGGCACCACCGGGGCTGGAGTATAATGATGGGCCTTGGTGGACGTCTTCAGTTCCTTTGCATCCACCAATGTGACAATGTATGGGTTGGACCTTTGGTTTCATGACGCCACATTGGTAACGATACCTCTGCTTTACTGCTCCTTTGATGCCGGGGGGCCACCACTAGTACATTACTATCAGATCCATGACACTGGCCTGATGGGGAGGGTGGCCGTCCAGTCAAGCGGATGATGATAAGAATTTGCTTTTCGCATTTATGCTGAAATTGGGTCATTTTCTCTTTTAGTTTTTGGCCGTCAGAACATCCCCTGCTGAGTGATTTATTTATGATAGGGACCTTGTCAAGGGTTATTTTCGGCAAAGACTTGTTTTTAATCTGTTGTGATGCCAGATAGAGAGCAAGT